CTCTGTAATTTATAACAAAGTCACAGAAAGTTCTTTGGCAAAATTCATACTAACAAAAAATTCATATTTATTATTTCTTTTCTTATTCTGTAGCCGATTCCATTTTAATAAGAAATAAAAAAAAAAAATCTTATTATCCCACATCATTGTTTATGGTTACCGGGGTAATCAGAGCAACATTTTGTGTCATATCTTCATATAATTTCCCCTTGGTAATTTTGAACCAAATGTAGATCATTTTTAAAGTTTTTTCAAAAATCATTTGTTAGGTTTATTTCATTACAGGCCCCAAAGGTTTGTAGATGTTTATAAGGAATCATGTACCACTATCAGCTCGCTCAAGAGATGGGTTTCTCACAAAACTATTGCAGGTCATGACTGTACAATAATATTACATGCTAAGTTTTGTTTACCAGGTAAAAAGACAGACTGACACTGCTTTGAATGACAACACTGTTAAAAAGTTGGGGGCGACTACACATTGTGAGACAAGGATAAAACAACAAATACTTACCATGCTAGTTTTGTTTATTTGTATTTTCTCAGGAGGAAGAAACAAAAGTTTTCTAATTGCAATGCTGTTGACCTGGATAAAGATTAATACAAAATGTAAGAGATATATATACACACACTGCAGACATGTTACAATTTAGATCAGTGGTTAGTAATAATAATAATAATAATAATAACTCTATTGCCTCTGTGTAAAAAGAATTACATAGGATAAGTACAGCAAAAAATAGTTTTAAAATAATAACAAAATATATGTAAAAATATTATAAAAATTACATAACTAGTATTTACTGGTAAATGTTAAATAAATATTTGTGTTGTGTAAATATAAATGGCAAGTTTTTTAATTATGCCGGGATCTTTGATTGAGAGTATATATGTGAATTGTGTATTTTTATTTTTTGGATGAAGTTTTCCCAGTGTGGTCAGTATGATTGAAAGCCATATCCATTCAAATGCACTAAATAGGTACAACAGCACTTCTGATGACCAAATCCATAGAAAAATTTGTATGGGATATTCGTAATAACAGCAGAAAATATTTAAAAAAAAATCAATTGGTTTAATTAAGATTTAATAGGCAATCTTTGCCTGGTAATTTCCATTCCATATTTTAATTATTATGTATTTATATAAATTTTTTGATTTCATGAAATAACTATCATGGGTAAGATGACCCACAAATGAAAAAACTAAGGCCCTGGACAAATAATAATGACAGTCATTGACTTGTGCAATGGTAAACAAAACTGAAACAAGTCAGCCACTTTGAATCCGAACTTGAAATAATGTATAATGTATGTGAAAAGTTTGAAAGCATATCAAAAAGATAGCGTCACTTGGAAGTGTATTTGTTAAAACGAAATGGCCACCAGTCGGCCATTTTAATCCCATCTATAACACAAAATAATGTGCATCAAAATCTCATTATGGCCAATGAATATTTCCAAAGTTTCCAGACATTGAAACAAATGGGTACGGTAATAATAATATTGTAAACCTACCTTTGCAACTGGTATAAATATGACGAAAAACCAGGTTATTAAAAATACAACCGCATGTATAATAATTAATAAAGGTACGCCTAATATAAGCCAAAAATATGTCTCAACTCTTCGCTGTGAAAATAAAAATAACAATAATATTTACTAGGTAAGGATAAAAATTAAGAATGTAGTTTAGACTTGCATACAGTCTCTTGTTTAATTTCTGGTGTTTTTTCAATAAAATAAAATATCATGAATGGGTAAATGGCAAAAGCCAGGTTAACGTGAAATATCTATTACTAACTGTGTATTTTGGAAATTAACCTTTTAATTGAAAACCAAACTTATCAATTTAAGCAGTGATTGTAAACTGCGAATATTATTCTTTACAATACAAGCATCAAAATGGAGTGAAGAAGAAATACAGCTCTTCTAAATACAACAATATTTCACATGAACAAAAATTATCTGCATCATCGTTTATCTCATGTACCCCTTCATCCCCTCCGGGGGATGTTATCTATGTTAATGAATCAATGTTAAATACTTGCTGATTATCGAACCGTGTGGCATGTCATCGGTAAATACTTTGTGTAGTAGTTCGCGAGCAGTCGGCGAAATAACCATTTAAAACTGAATATTTCTATAAGGCATGTGGTGTAGCCTTACATCAATCAAGGAGGTAAATCGATCGACCATTCAGATTCGCGCTTTTTCGACTAACCAACCATTGGGAATCGTGCTCTTCACAGAGTGACACTGCGATCCTGTCGTAGAGTGCAATAATCGGCATTCGGCGAGACGCACAATCGCGTCGCAGAGTTAGTTTTTAGACCCCCATACATACCTCTTTATCCACAAAAATTATCTTAGACCAAGGGTGATATATTTTTCCTATACTGAATTAAAGCTGACATGGTTGGTGTGAGTTACTGCCACATTCACTATAATGCAATGCAAACTGATGCAAATGAATGAATCTGGTGGCTAAGGGGGCAGCAACTCGCATTGACCATGTCAGGGTAATACTGCATGTGATAAAAAAATTGGCTATCCAGCAATTACCAATGAGGCTTACTGTATACAATTTCCACTCAGATAAGTATACATATCAGCAGATGTCATACTCACCCAATATTTACTGTTGTCTTTTTTCACAAAATCTGTTTTTGCCTGCGACGATGAGATGTTGAGAGGCGTATTTTCATCTGGCAATTCCGTCATACTACTACTATTGCTATCGTAAGAGCTATTGAATGAAAGAACACCAGCATACTCTGTATGCTAAAAAAACAAGACATTGTAAATACAGTGTGTGGCCAAATCCCAGGGCTATTTGAAACAGTGAAATTACTGTGTCACTGTCCTTTTGAGGGGTGTTACCTATCTTCAACATACAACTTTGCACCTGTATTTTGAATATTTCATTGGACTTAAATGCACTGTAGGTATAGGGGAAACAAGAAATTTCAAAACAAAATTGTAATAGCAAAAATTATGGAAAAAAAGCTTAGAAAGAACTCTTGTGTACTGACAAGTATTGGAAGCCTATTGAAAATTAATTCAAAATTCAAGATTAACCTTTCAAACAAGAAGCTTGGCAACTAATATTTGTCTGCTTTTTGAGATGCACAACATGAATGTGATCTACATTTATAATATATAGTAATTTATAATAATAAATTTTGATTTTACATCAGTGGTTTGCAGATTAATTTTATTCCAGAGCACATTCACCACAAGTACAAGTTAAATCTGATCAATATGCATGTTTTTCAACATTAAACTAATGTCTGTGGACTACCCCAAAGTACATTGTATCTACCAGTATATTGTATCAAATTTCAATGAAATGAGATGATTTTGCATGTTATGCAAACTAGGCAATTATTATGCTCAAATTTGAATCCAAAACTAATCGGGTCTTTATCATTGTTACTATATACCAAGTCTTATTGAAATACAATAAATAATTAGTAATGGGATATAGGTAGAAAATTGAGTAATTGCAGATGTAATGCGCAGGTTTTAAAGTAAAAAACTATTAAGGTACTATGTGCATTGTCTTGTAGCCTCCATGTATCAAGTTTCATTGAAATGTAATTAGAGCTTGATATAGATGGAAAATAAAAAAAATTAAATTATTATGCAAATTAAGTAAATAATATGAACAGATTTTTACCCAAAACTGAGCAGTTGTATACATTGCCCTAGAGCATCTACATGTATGTACCAAGTTTCATTGAAATGTGATGATTAGTACTTGAAATATCAGCAGAAAAGAAAAGAAAAAAATTGACTAATAGCTATGACAATTACAATAGGTAATTAAAATGCATGCAGACAGTGTAACTGCAATGACTCGCAATGTGTGCTGCCTAACATTACTTTCAGCAGTAGTAAGGAACCAAGAAAAATGCTCATTACTACAACATTATTTCTTTAATTCATGTGTTCATGTAAACTAGAAAATTTTTCTCTCAAAAAAAGTGATTTATTTAATGCATGACAAGAGATATATTTAGAAGAGAATTTAAACTTGTGTTACATGGAGGACTTAAACCGCTTTGTTTCAAAATACACGTTGACAATTAAGGTGGACGTTGAACCAAAACATGTATATAAATTGCGCCCTCATACAAGGCAAATGTAATTCCACTTGTTTAAGGTTGATGAATACAGTTTCACGAATGTGGATAGAGTTAGAGCAATACATGCAAGAGATTTCATGTGAGAACATGTTTTATCCCAACACATTGTTTCATTACCTAATACAAAATATTTTCAAAATTGAACAGGTCATCTCAAATATTTAGTCCATGTCAACAACAGTTTGCTGCATGTGATCATGTATAAGAAGTCTATTCACAAAGTATTAAGAAATTTCTGAATTTTTTCATTAAACTCTATCAATCAACCTCTAACAAAGAAATTTTCTATTGGGGAAGTGCCAGACACATACATTTTGACATGGTCTTATCAGAAAATGCTGAACTTAGGTCAACCACTAGAATTAATCTTGAAGATTTAGTCACACACCCTTAAGTATTATTATAGTAGTTCACGCTTGACTAGACAGTTTGATAGCTATATAAGAGATTCTACATCAAATTACTAGATGAATTTGAGCGTTAAAGTCAACTATCGTCACTATTGCCAAATTTTAAACCCATATTTTTTTTTATAATTTTTCCAACATTTTGAACAAGACTTGTAGCCAATGAAATTATGGTACAAAATTATCAAAAAAATATAGAAAAATACATGAAAAATGACAAAATGACACACCAAAACTATGCCGGAGAAAATGATGGTGCTCAAAGTAAAGCCACTGTCTTTATTAGGAGAAAATGACAAATACTGTAAACCAATTAATATAGACTAAAATTTACTAAAGTCACTGAATTCTGGTAAAGAATGTTCATTGCTACAAAATTTCATGATTTGCATTGACTTCAACAATAAATAAACAAACAAACAAACAATTAAATAAATAAATACTTTTCCTACCTCTTGTACAAATTTCCCAAATGGCCAGAAGAAATAACCAGCAAACTTTGCACAAAAAACAGCTGCAAAAAAAATCAAAACAAACATAATGCATTAAAAAGTTCACAAAGCTAACCACTGATTTTCTTACAGTGTTCTTCCCAGTATTTTGAATCATATTAGATATTTTGAATCATATTAGATATTTTGAATCATATTAGATATTTGAATCATATTAGATATTTTGAATCATATTAGATATTTTGAATCATATTAGATATTTTGAATCATATTAGATAATATTAATATGCAAACTACTTAGCTGTTGTAATTTAGCTGGGGAGAACAATATCCTATTTCAAAAATACTAATTTGCATAATCAATCAAATATTAAAGCACAAGTTGCAACTAATAATTAATATTATTATATTTAATAAAACCAATATTGTACATTGTGCTTATTTGTTGCCACAGTCCTATTTCAAAAATGCTAATTTGCATAATCAGTCAAAGAAGCACAAGTTTCAACTAATAAAATTAATTACATAAACCAATATTTACATTGTGCTTATTTGTTGCCATAATTTAACATCGTTTGCATGTTACGTGCTGACACTTTGGTTCAACATTTGTAATGCCAAATAAAATAAATCCTGTGTTTTCAGTAATCCTACTACCTACCCAATTTTTGTTGGAAGGTCATGTATGGTCATTCAACCCATGTTTTTTTTTTTATTTCATGCATTTCACTTATGTAGTGAATGACTAGCTCTCGTATTAAGGAAATATATTTTGAAAACTAAGTTAGATGTGATTTTTAACATCTGTAGTTAAACCATAATTATGCTCTCAGTATTTTTTAAACCATTACCAGAAACACTAAATTTGTTTTAGTTGGCCTTGTTGCAGCTTACTATATAATTAATAAACATTAATAAACATATTAAATAATAAAAACGATCACATAATTAAAGACGTTTCAAAACACATTTATACTTGCTTTATGCTTAGGGAGCAAAAAATCAAACAATAACTTCAGTACCAGCTGCCTCAAAAAAACCCCACAAAACACAGATTTACATTTATTTACATTATAAAATATTACAATTATTCATTTATCTCTTATTGTGAGATATGTATTTATTTCATTCATTTACAGTATTTTTAGTATTTCATTTTATTTTCATTTTTTTTATTATTACATGTTTTTGACTTTATTGTATTTTATGTCAAGATCTCAAATGGGATACGATAGCAATAAAGAATTACTTACTTACTTACTTACTATATAAAAAGAAAACATTATTTAAAAATGTAAATCATTCAGAAGGTCAGGTAATATCTTTTAGAAACAGAGTTTACCAACTATACATGTATGTATAGCGTATAATTTATGGAATTAACCATGCACTGGAGTGACTCCACACACATGAGCAATAATCGACCCATTCATGAATCGATCCATTGTTAGGGGTAATTTACATACAAGTACACACCAGTGTTGACTGTTCCACTTTACAAAAAATATCCATCTCCTAAAACTACAGCCTTGACATAAGCACAGACATTATATAGTCTGTGAAGAAAGCGGTTTCAACTCAAGGCAGCATGAATGGCTGGTATTAGGACAGTGTGCTGACTTTCACAGGGCTCTAAAGTTTATTTTGGAAGCCGAATACAATATTTGCTCTATTAGTAGGGCATGTGCTTACATGTACCTAAATGACAGCATTGTATCTACGGTCAAACAGATTTTAATGAAATTTTTGGTAAACTACCGGGGCGGTAATGCTTCTTATGTGATTCTCATGAGCAGATGCAGCAAATTATTTGAGACTCTCAGTACTGTTACTTTTTTGGTGGGATTTTGACCACTTTTTAACTCAAAAAAGCTGTCCACTAAATAACATTTTTCGAGTACTGTGAAATACTTTATTTTCGCTGGAATTAATTTTCGCTGAAAAGGCTTTTTGGGCCTTTTGTTTGGAATTTATTTTCACTGATTTTAATGAGTTTAATGTGAAATATAGGAAAAAAAGTATATTCGCTGGATTTTATTTTCACGGAATCATCTCTTCAGCGAAAATAGCGAAAATAAATTCCAAGCGAAAATAAAGTATTCTACAGTATAATGCTTTGTAACCATGGCAACAATGAGACAGATGTAGTTTAACATCAACTATTATTTGTAAATCCAGAATTTCTAAATATTTTTGTTTTTTATGCAAAAATATTTATTTTACCAGGCTTTTAACATGTTACTTTCCAGATTTAATAATAAGCAAACTGAATTTGGAAATTTATAAATGGAAAAACTACTTGATTGATGACAAACTAAGAATGCAAGAGCACTGCCGATAATAAGGATTATGTTACTGGCACAAGATGTGAGCCTTTAAACGACTGTCCACATACAGGAGGATAAGAATCCGTATGTTGAGTGAAGTATTTTGTATTATATTTTGGGGAGAGGACACTTAAATAACCTAACTTGTCAATGAATATCTTTTCTATCATGCCTCCATGGCTGGTTTGAAATCTCTAAGTGTGTGTCAGAGGTCACATGGTTGTTGTCACTGTAATTGACAGTAGTTACACAATCACGTTTTCGGCCTTTAAACTTACCATGTGGTTTTCCAATGATTGTTATCAACATCACAAAAGCCACAACAAGATATACCAATGCAATCCACCATCCAAATAGTAGACAGTATAAAACATTACCAATAGAGATAGTTGAAGCTGAAAATAAGTTTTATATTAAATATTATATTAGGAACAGAAATAAATATTCATGTTGCATCATGTTTCGTGCGAATCGGTTATGTGTGCACCACAGCTTTTTTGAAAGTTTTTTGTAGAATTTTCTAAAACCAACCTGAAAATTAATTTTTCATGACAAAGTCAAAGCATTTTTATAACAATTTTAAAGAAGCATCCATTTTGGAGATCAAATTGATGAGAAACATTTTCCCAACCTTTAGATAGATGAATTAACGAGCACAATTATGACATTTTAAAAATTTTACTGAAATCTATATAAATACATGTAGATATATTTCATTTGTTATATGTGGCTGAAATTTAAAGAGTATAGAAAAATGCCCGGTATCACAGTCCCTCTATCACCGGTCTGGCAACGGTCTGGCAATGGTCTGGCAATGACTATTGTTTTAGGTGTGACCAACCGCGTACGGCATTCCCCCAAGGCATAGCTACAAAATAAGCATCACATCATTTGTCAGTTTAGTTCCTGCCATTATTCGCCTTGTCTTGTTCTCCAACGTTTTTTAACCCAATCTCACCTGTTATAATCAATATAGAAGTATTTCTACCATTACGAGGAGTAATTCTTTCTGGTGAGTATGTTTAATGATTCTTCCTGAGAGTTTTTTCATCTTATTTTAGCCATAATTTTTGTTCCCTGTTTTTTTGAACATATGCAGCATCATACACTGAGTTTGACCGAGACGAACAGTATTTTACGCCCTTTTTATTTCCCTCACGTGGGGGTTCAATTCGTTCATTTAACCAATAAATCGAACAGTTTAACAACGTTAGAAGCAGGTCGGCACATTTGTTATTCGTCTCTTCTGCACTTTTCTATTAAAATAGCCATTTATTTTTACCATTGATAGAGGGACTGTGCCAGTACTTACGATTAGTTAATAACAATTCAAAAATTAGAAAAAGACCAAAAAACAGCATATATGTGTGAAACCACAACATAAATTTAATTGGAGAAAATTTTCTAGTTCTTGAAATTCTCAAAGATAAGTCATTGTCAATGACATAGTCCCTGTTACATTACACAATTACTAAGCTTATATGCATAATTATGACAGAGACATGTATGACAATTACGTGTCATGACCATGACCTTATTAGCTAATCACATTACGCAGCTAACCTACAAACCATTAACTTGTGTGTGTGTCTCCCTCTTTATTCTGATGCGTGAATTTTCACGTAATTAAGTTTACTTTGTAGCAACGAGCAACAAAAATATGGCTTGTGAAATTACAATCATTCAAATAAGATGGTTGCCAGTCAGACATTTTGGATTTGAGGGTGACAAAAATGCATGTGCGTTTGTTTGATATGATGTCTGATGTATGTGTGAATTTAGAACTTGATCAGTCTAGGCATATCGAAGATGCATTACTTTTCAAAAAATGGCCACCAGGACTGCATTTTTTAAAACAAAATGGATGCCCCTCAGCTATTTTGAACTCAGTTCAAAAAATAAAATGCATCAAGATCCCAGTGTGTTCAATATATGTATGAAGTTTAAACCAAATCCGTCCATACATGACTGACATTCGGTTGCAGAATGGTGAAAATGTGTAATTTTGATGCATTTTGGGCATTAAAATGACTGCCAATTGGTTATCTTGAGTTGGATCATGGAACAAAATCATATGCATATTGTCTGATTTTAATGTCTGATGTATGTGTGATGTTAGAACCTGATCATGCAGCCAAATCATGTGAGAGAAGTGTCTGGATAAGTATGGACGCATCAACAGTCATTCAATATGAGGTTATGAAGAGAGAAGTATGCACAAAGGCAATAAGACAATCATACCAACCAACACTTAGCAGAGGTCAAGTGACAGTACTGCCTGATTATTTAAATTAAAGGCAGGCAGAAAATGAAATCAACTAAATAACAATGTTTTGAATACTAACCTACAAAAGGTTTGACAGCTTTAGGTTCTGCATAAAGCTCCTTCACAACATCAGATCTTTCTGACAACGGTCTTGGTGTAAGATGACTTTTCCATTTTTTAAAACCAAACTTTAAAACACAGAAAGAAAGAAATATTGAATGAAATACATTTCAAACCGCATTTACAAATTCTTTGGGCGGAGCAGAGCTACTTCACAGAATGTTCTACATTGCTAAGATGCATATTTCTATGGGCACTGTTCAAGTTGCTGTGGAACGCCGGTCGAAAAGCCCGTAAAGGTGCAACTGAAGTAATCCTGAGCAACCGAATTTATATACCGGTATGTTGCACTTGTAGGAGTCATATCAATTATCCCAAAGTACAATTTCAGGCTGTGAATATGCCCGGACGTACACCCCAATAATTAACAAGCCATGCATGGCACAGTCCCCGTTAGTTATCAGATTTAAGACATATAGTTTTGTTTATAGTAATATAGCTGGAATATAACCATGTCAGGAATATGATTTTTTAACATTAAAATGATTTACATTTGTATCTGATCGTCAAAAAAGTACTTGACTGTCCATATTGAGAGATATTGCTCTGGAACAGCATTCAAAATCAGCCATTTTGAATACATGTATATATATAACATGATGTATAACGAATATATAAAATTTGAATATAATCAGTCAAAGCATTTAAGAGATATGGCTCTAGAAGCCCAATCATTTAAACAAAATGGCCGCCAGTCAACCATTTTGAATCCAATCTGAAAAATAAAATGACGTGCGGCAGGAACCTGTAATGTCTAATGTATGTACCAAGTTTGAACGAAATCCATCCATAAATGCTTGATATTTGATGATTTTTTAGCACAAAAATGACCACTATTCGGTCATTTTGAATAGGATCGTCAAACCAATATATCTGTTTATCTATAACATGATGTATAATGAATATTTAAAATTTGAATATAATCAGTCAAAACAAGTCGGAGATATGGGTCTAGAAGCCCATTCATTAAAACAAAATGGCCACCAGACAGCCATTTTGAATCCGATCTGAAAAATAAATGATGTGCATCAGGAACCTGTAATGTCTAATATATGTACCAAGTTTGAACGAAATCCATCTGTAAATGCTTGATATTTGATGATTTTTTAGTACAAAAATGGCCACCATTTGGCCATTTTGAATAGGATTGTCAAACCAATATATCTGTCTATCTATGACATGATGTATAATGAATATTTAAAATTTGAACATAATCAGTGAAAGCAAGTCAGAGATATGGCACGAGAACCACATTTATTAAACAAAATGGCCGCCAGTCGGCCATTTTTAATCTTATCTTAAAAACAAAATTATTCACATCAAGGTCCCATAATGTCTAATATATATACCATATTTGAACAAAGACCATCTGTAAACAGCCGAGAAATGCTTGATTTTTAGATTTTTTAGCACAAAAATGGCCGCCATTCGACCATCTTTAATCAGATCATAAAACAAAATAATGTGGATCAAGGTCCTATAATGTCTAATGTATATACCAAGTTTGAACAAAATCCATCTGTAAACAGCCGAGAAATGCTTTATTTTGATGATTTTTAGCACAAAAATGGCCGCCATTCGGCCATCTTGAATCAGATCAAGAAACAAATTGACATGCATATGTATAATATCATGTATGATGTATGTGTGAATGTTGATTGTGATTGGTCCAGGCATTTCTAAGATACAGGTCCGGAAGCACGCACAGACGCACGCACGCACGCACGGCACACGGAGGTCAATAATGGCTCTAAGGTGGGCTAAAGTCAGCTTTCCTTGCTTTCAAAACTGCCACATGCCTAAAATGTGTAATCTGCCTAAATATGTCTCATAATGATAACATATAAGTAAATACTACTAAGAATAAGTAGAAATTACAGGTTTAATTCTGCCAACTTAAGCATAATAATGAAGTGAGACCTTTGCTGAAGAAGACATGTGTGTGCATGAAGGAAAAATACATTTAAAAGTATAAAACCAGGATTCCTAGAATACATACCGGTAATCAACATTTTTGGTACACAATTAAAACAGAAATAAATATCAACCCCTTATCATGCACATACTGCCAGTGAGCACAGTGATTTGATTCACACATCACTGTATATGGAGATTGGCTGAATCGCTGATTAATGCCTACAGTTTAAAATAGTCATTTTGACTGACCGGAGTCTATGGTGGGTAATGGAACGCAGTGAATCTGGAGATATATCGCTTACCATATAGTTTTGAGATATTCTCTGTGCTTCAATTTCATTTTCTGGCGGTTTACCCAGAATAACAAATCCATCCACCATACTATCACGTGTCAATGGAGTCCCAGCCGAGTAGGTTCTCTGTCTTGGTAAGGAAAGCACAGTCACTGCTGTGCCGTTGTTAACTGATCCGTCATCGTCTTGCAGGTTTGCAGGTTCGACATCTACAGAATAAATCCGTGCACATTTTTAAAATTCATTTCATTTTTTAAATCAATTCTAGTCTCAGAAAAAACATTCAATCAAGCCATGCATGGCACAGTTCCCCTTAGTTATTGAATTTAAGATGCATAGTTTTGTTTATAGTAATATAGCTGGAATATAAACATGTCAGGAATATGATTATGATGATTGTTTAACATTTAAATGATTGACATTTGTATCTGATCGTCAAACGAGTATTGAGAGATATTGCTCTGGAACATAACGTGCATCAGGAATAAAATAACGTGCATCAGGAACCCATAATGTCTAATGTATGGTCTAATGTATGTACCAAGTTCGTACAAAATCCATCCATAAATGGGCCATTCCAGTTTATATCTGCACCCCCCCCCCCCTGTTGATGTGGTCGGAATTCCAGCACTGTATGATGGGGAAAATACCCCGGAATTCCAACTGTATATGGAGAAACAGAATCTGGGAATCCAGATGAGTATGGAAAAAAATTCCTGGAAATCCAGGCAGTTATGGCTACTAAATAGAATATGGCCCAGTTTATCTCGCCACATACCGGTTAATAAGGTTGGATTTCCAACAGTATGACTAAAAAAACTTGGAATTCTGACTGTATATGGTAAAAAAATTGGGCCAGTATGAAATAGTTATTACTGAAATTAGATAAGGATGGTGGCACGAATGAGCTCATCAACACTGTGAATCAGGACTAAGGATTTGGAAATAAAACTTTGTATGACTTATACAACCATGGAAATTATACCCTGTATGAAGTAAACACACAAGCTCATCAACAGGGGGGGTGCAGATATAAACTGGAATGGCCCAATGCCAGAAATGTTTGATATTTGATGATTTTTTAAGACAAAAATGGCCACCATTCGGCCATTTTTAATAGTATCGTCAAACCAATATATCTGTATATCTATGACATAATGTATAATGAATATTTCAAATTTGAACAGAATCAGTCACAGCAAGTCAGAGATATGGCACTAGAACTACATTCATTAAAACAAAATGGCCGCCAGTTGGCCATTTTGAATCTTATCTGAAAAACAAAATGATGTGTATCAAAGTCCTATAATGTCCAACGTATATACCAAGTTTTAACAAAATCCAACTGTAAACTGCCGAGAAATGCTTGATTTTGATGATTTTTAGAACAAAAATGGCCTCCATTCGGCCATCATGAATCAGATCATGAAACAAATTAATGTGCATATGTATAATATCATGATGTATGTGTGAAGTTTGATTGTGATTGGTCCAGGCATTTTATGAGATACAGGTCCGGACACACGCACAGACGCACGGATGCACAGAGATCAAAAACAAGGACTAAATATATGTTATATTTTGCTAGCAATACAATAATAGTTATAAACATTCTAAAATCACTATCCATATATATATATATATATATAGACAGAAACAATATTTATTCTCTATGTGTTTTTGCATATATTATATATTGCTAAACCAAAGCTTAAAAAAATAACTAAATTTGAACATTAGGGACTGGTCATTTTATTTGGTCAGGGGTGCTGGGGAATCAAATATATAATAGTAATTTTTTACTACCTTCTTTAGTATTATACATTATGATGAGTTGAGTTATTCAAAGAAGAAAACTAGTGCAAAGATTTGTTTAAACTTTACATTTTGTGAAAAGAAAAGTTTGAATTTTGATAGTGAAAGAAAGTTTATGAACTTGAATATTTGTGTGCAGCCAATAAAATATATACAATAATTAGTAAATATTGAGCCTATTTAAACTATGTAATTTTTTTCCGCACATAACCCTCTTTATTCAATTTCAAAATACCCCCTCCTCCGGACGAAAATGAGCAGTGCCTCAGCGAGTTTTTATATTGATGGCTGCATAAAACGGTATAAGGACGATCCGGCCCTGGTTTGTTGCGACCCTGGTGAAAAAAAAAGACGTTCCGGCCCTGGTTTGGACGTTCCGGCCCCAAAACAGTTTGGTCGATCCGGCCCTGGTATAAATTATATTCGATACGTGTTCATATCTAATGTTAATATATTAAATGCATAACGAATGCTTGACTATCTTGTTTAACAATTATTTTTCGTCTTTTGCAGGGCATTTTCACGATTTCACACCATATTTTACACAATGCAACAGATGTTTTTTTCATTTACTCGCCGCCACCTTTGTACTAAGCACCATATGGCCCGAGTGATTGACACTGTGCACATGGACATGTGTGGCCCGCAGACAGACAACTTGAATACATATCTAATACAATCCGTTTTAGTCAGGGTTCGAATACACATTTGTGGTTTGTCACGTAATGAATTAAGAACGTTAATCAACAGAGGAAAAGAATGTAGAAGGCAGACAAAATAGTTTTATTGGTGTTTCAGTAAATAAACAAATAAACATTTTAGTTCCGCACAGGGTCCGCGTTTGTGTGGTTCGTTTGCATGTGTTTCCATGGGGAATTGCGTGAATAAATTAAGAGCAGAAGTCGGAATGTAACAATGTAGCAAGATGCCTCACTTTGTCGCCATGTTAAATGTTCGACTTTTTGTACTAAAAGTAATCGTGATTATACGCTAAATTACAAACAATGACCTGTCGGTTGGCGGCAGATCATTGTTGAAAGAAAAAAATTCACCGCTAAAAGGTGTTAACAACTTGACTAGAAGTAAGTGCGTGACTGATGATACCGCGCACGTACGTAAGTGGTCAAAATTATGAACAATGAAATGTCGTTCACACACTCAGTGTATAAGACTAGGGAGCAAAGCACAGTTCAGTCATTCTGATTCAGTCTAGCTATCAGTTAACTGCTCAGAATTCTATATTGCTCGCTCTCTGAAAATTTTATATTGCCACGTTACGTTAAAATCGCTATATCAGTCCCACTGATAATCTGTATCGCATCGTCTCATATTAGTCCCACTGATATTTTATAACAGCCTCTTTACGTCAAAATCGCTATATCAGTCCCACTGATAATAAATAAATCGTCCCATGTTACGGTACGTCGCATTATATCAGTCCCAATGATAATAGTTAAATCGTCCCATGTCACGGTCGCATTATATCACTCCCACTGATTATAAAAAAAACTCAAACTAGGCAACAATGAATCAGGTGGCGCCTGATGATACCACACTACACCGCATGTACTGGTAATGTGGGACCTAGTGCCGGAATGATTTTCTATATGATGTCTAGCAAATGTTTCAAATGAACCCTGACTAAAACAGATTGTATTAGATGTGTAATCTAATGTCTGCCATTCACATGCATAAGCGGCGAATAAATGAACATACATCTGTCAAACACGGTGTGAAATCGTGAAAATGCCCTGCAAAAGACGAAAAATAGTTGTTAAACAAGATTGTCAAGCATTCGTTGTGCATTTAATATATTAACATTAGATATGAACATGTATCGAATATAATTTACACCAGGGCCGGATCAACCAAACTGTTTTGGGGCCGGAACGTCCAAACCAGGGCCGCAACAAACCAGGGCCGGATCGTCTAGAAATCCATAAAACAACCACTAATTATTGCGATTTCTTGAATGTAAATAAAAATCACGACATAGACTTGGTTTTCTTACATTCATTGTTTACATTTTCAATTCTGACGTAAGCTGAGTAAACTCGAAAGTCGGTGACCCTGATGTTCGCGGTAACTCGGCTTTCACCATTTATACACTCCAATAACATTCTATTTTATTGAAATAAAGAAGAGACTGTATGCAAGTCGATTCCTTGACTGACAACAACGATGATGATGACACTCTGAACAACTATATATCCTCCCTTCATATTATTATAGTCAAAGCAAACAATAACAACATTAATCAGATTTCCTAGAATCATGTGACACTAGTATTTTGTACTGTTATTGCATCATTGTTGTACTATATTCCCGAAACACATCCGTATACAGCCACGCAGCCAGGATCCATTAGTCACAAGACCATGCATATAGCATGTGACAGCACGTTAACCAAGAGTGAATACGCCACATTCATTTTCATAATTAACCGTTCAAACTACACATTACTATCGGCCATGGTCGTAGTTTGTGGGGGGGGGGGGGACAGTAGTAACAGTGACGTACCTTGAGGAACGCTGGTGGACTCGGCAAACGTTTCTTCCTCAGCGTCTTCCGCAAAAAGTTGCAGCGCTGGATTGGACGTCGTCGTCATGTTGTGTTGGATATATAACACAGGATATAGTCTTTTTGGTGTTCACGCAGGTCGAGGTCTGGTTCTCATATCACAGAATTGTTCATTTCCGCTAAGTGTCGCTTCAATCGTGACAAATCTCCGAGGAATAAACAAACAATGCACCCAGTTGTTGTACCAAACCCATTCTTCAATTTCATCAAGTTTCAAAGTCAGGTGACTTCAGGGTTCCTGTTCCATTCCGCCGCCTGATGGCGCACTACGAGGCGAATGTAAGTGGGCTTTTCAACAATGCAATTAAATCAATCCCAGTCCATTTTCACAATGTGAAATGTGTCATTCACAAGCATCATCTATCAAGGAAGAGTAAAGTGAAACGTTTGTGTTGCGTTTAGCATGACAAAAAGTTGTTTATTCCCCGGGAAGGGAGAGGGTACATTTGCGAAGGAATACTAAAACAGCCATTTAAAAACTGGACCCAAAGTGGTCGATGTTTTGACTCACAAAATGGTGTTTTTCGCCAACAAATGACCAAACCAAATGACCAGTTCATCTATTTTTTCCTTTTGCACATCGTCATGCTAATGCCAAGTGAAGAGACAAACTTCATCATATTGTTTGCAAACCAGAAAGTGTTTGTCTCTCCTGACAAGGTCGCGTGAGTTGCGCCCACCGCGGTAATCCAAACCCAACACAGTACTTGGGTCTGATGCCGTTCGGCCGGCGAGGGCACCACTCACTCATGGTCAGACTAGTTTTTGTACATTGAATAAAACATTTAGGGGATTAAGATTTTAATTTACTCAAACTGTGATGGACGGCTACTTTGAATATGGATTGACTATTTGAAATCTTGGGATGAGCATGAACATGTCAAGCTATCATATAATTTATTTCTTCCCTTTACTTTTTTTTTATACACATAATATACTTTTGATAACAACTATACATTTGATGTGCGAGCCAAAGATGTTGTTAATGTCACTAAATAATCTTTGTCAGTTTCTTTCAAGAAGCTCCACACATCCGTCCAATTTTACTATTTTCTTCTTGAAAGTTGCGTTATCAGCAACTTGTCTTTCCAACCATTTCAAATAAGATGATGTCATGCAACATTATGCAAATGAGATAGTAAGTAAATCAGACAATGACTGATTTATAAATTATTTGAGTGCCACATTGTGTAATTTAACTTAAATTAAATTTACTTTTAATTATGTTCCCCTCCCAGGGTTTCAAATGGTCCATCCCATGCACTTATATAGTAGCAGCCATTTTAAATCAAGCGTCATTGATTGAAAACAACAAACGCTCAAACTGTGGAATTGTTGGCGCACATATTTATGTTTCATTCAAGATGTGTTAGGAGTCCTAGTTTGTTCTAAAACATCGTAACTAGGACATTACCCGGAGCATCCGCAATTATGTAACTGGATCACGATTGTGAAGTCAGCGGCGTACGGTTCGATCCTCGTCAAAATTAAAAAAAACAATACGTGGGGGTTCACCGTCCCGTGGGGGGGGGGGCACCGTCCTGTCGCTTGAGAGTTGACATCCTACTACATCGATCAGTACTTTTTAAATTTTTGATTTGTCCTCGATTTGTAATTCCTAAGTTTTGAGAGAAGTGGTGAAGGAAAATTGTGAAATAAAAAATAATAAACGGTACTGAGTTATATTTGTTTGCATTTCCAGCCACCACGTGACTGTGCACTGCAGCTCTGACCTTCCATGCTCTGAGTAGGCAGCGTCATCATTCGGGCATTTGTTATTGCTAAGATGATACGATCGTGGTCACGCAGAGCCTTTGTACGAATCAACGCTGTAACTTCATTGGCAAAGTCATACCAGACAGGCCCCGATCCAATCAAACGCCAGAAGCCTGGTAAATTGGAAGATGCAGACGGTCGCGGTCCGGATCGGCCACCGGGCTCTGATCTCCCGGACTACAACACGGACGTCAACATTCACGCACACCGACTGAAAAGACCGGAGAAGCCCAGCCCTGCAGTGTCTAGAGAATGGTTTCGTGATTTAGATACACGTACAAAGGTAGATAGATTGTTTTAATTATTGAAAATCGGTTAGCCTACTCTAAAAGAGGGTCTATGACCCACTCGGCTTACCGGTATGCCACCGCAGCGATCAACAAGTCCAGGGTGAGGGTCGGCAAGGGGTATTTTCGTAAGCTGTAATCATTTGTTTTTTATTTTCGTAGTAATTTAATTTAAATAAATTAAAAACGTAAATTTGTAGACATGGACAACGTATAAAATGTAATCAGCTATTTTATTCATTCGTAATTTGTACGGAGACCTTATTTTTTGTAAGCGTTTAAAGCATTTTAAACATTAAATGTTGTAATTCGAACGCAATTTCCAATTTTGATTCTTAAACACAAATTATCAAGTATATTATAAAATTGTGAAATATAAATAGGAATTTGCTTTATCTGTAAAGTGTAAACAACTATTTTTACTGTAATTGGAACTTTCCTTTTGTTTCCTGTACAAACGTAAAATGCATTTTTGATTTCCTGTAACCTGCAGTACCAGCTATCCCTCGTGCCTCCTTTCTAGGGTGAACCAATTGAAAACTGGGGAGGGGTGGAGGAAATGAATAAAATGCAATTTCTTCCTCACCAATGTGGCAACAAATCATTTTTTTTCTCAGTACTTTTTTTTTTCTTGTGCATAGTTTTATGAAAAGTGTTTTGATTCACTCATCAATTATATATGACATCACTGTATGGGTAGAAAGTTGATATAATATTTCTTTTTTTTTCAAGATTTGAACACAAATAGTCAATTCATTTCGATACCAATTCATATTATATCATCAGATTCACTTAAAAGTTTGCAAAAAAGTTCTATACTCATACAAAAGATTTTTATGTTATTTTGTGATTCAATAAAATGTTGTCTTCGTATAGGTACCATACATACTGAGTTATAGGTGCACACACACATTTAACACATTTTTTTCTTCTGATATTACTTGAATAGTTGAATTCAAACAATGATTCTAAATACTAGATTTTGGTTTAATATATAACCAAACATACTTTATTATTATATCCAATATTACAGTGCATTAACCCTTATTTTGCAATCCTGTTTTCCTTGACCAGATGAGGGTTAATGGCAGCAAAGACTGCATCTCTGTACTGTTTAGCTAAAAGTATACTCACACAGTGATTGACTGTGGCATTAAATACAGAACAAGGACTGTGCATTGCCAATTTATGGCTTATTCTAATTATAAGTCATTATTTGATGGGGTTTCTATGTTTATTTTGCACTAGATTTCTATCTTATACTTGGTCAAAGTTCACAGGCTTATGTTAAAACAACTGTAAGGCTTCCCATAATTTTAATTATAATTTATAAAAGCTTTAATTGTCAATATTGTTATTTTGTTTAATTATAATTAATTGATTATATATTACTTTTTATTACGCAGTTTGGCATTCAAAGGTTTAAGACAATAGGAGTTAGTGTGACTTTTACAAAGATTTATTTATGCTTTTAATTCATCAAATTGCCAAATTTGATTTACAAATAAGATTACTGACTAAAAAGCCATGTATAGCAGAAATATCACAAAAATAATATATATGAATTTCAAAATGATAATTCAAAATGTAAATGAGTAGATTCATCATATTTGAATGTTTATTAACAAACATACTGTTTAAAACAACACTGGACTGAAAATGTTATGACTATGAAGGGAGATTGCAAAATACTTTTGTTAAATAAGAAATAATGAATAGAGTTAAAACAATTAAAACAATTTAAAACTTTAAAACTGAATAGAATAAATATGATAAGGGAATTAAGGGTTAAATTCTGAAAGGCCAAAAAGTGACAATATAAAATCAAAGAAAGCTTAGAAAGAACTCCCATGTGCTGAGAGTATTGGAGACACACTAAAAATTAATTCGAAATTACTTGTACTTGAGATATTGATGGAAAAGCTGAAAACTAATTATGCAAATTAATATGAACATATTTGTAAAACTAATGAGGTCTGCCCAATGTAACAGACCATCTATGTACCAAGTTTTTTTGAAATGTGATTCAAACCAAAAAATTATGAATTATTACGCTAATTAGGGAATTAATATGAACAGATTTCAACCCAAAACTAATCAGGTTTGTACATTGTCCTACAGCATCCATGTACAAAGTTTCATTGAAATGTGATTAGTACTTGAGATATCAGTGGAAAAGCTGAAAATTAACTAATTATGCAAATTAGGTGATTAATATGCACAAATATTTATCTCAAAACAATCGATCTCTGCATAGTCCTTGAGTATCTATGTACCAAATGTCATTGAAATATAATGATTATGAAACCAGGGTAATTTTACCGTTTCTTTAAATCTATGTAGTTTTCTTTATATTTCTTGTTACTACGGGCCCGTGTGTTATTTATTAAGGTAACCCGTATTTGTGACGTCATGGAAAAGTTTTGGTCTCATGATCGACGCCTGTTGAGACGCGCTACACTGATTGGTGCGTCCCGGGATGTCACACCACTCGGCGCGCAAGAGAAGAAGGTGCAGGACAGACAAAGATGGCAGCAGCCGAAAACGGGATTGTGTTGGAACCGTGAACACGAACGTGTTCTGGAAAGCACCAAGTCAGCGTACGAAAAGCTTGGAAAGAACTGAGTTCAGTGTGTTGCAGCCCACGGACGAGTTTATGTTATTCCCGTACTGCGAAGAAACCAAAGTGACTGTCAAACTTGCGTTTCACCAAATTTGTTGACGTACAGCGTTGGACCACAGGGAGCCCAGGAACTATAATCAACTGTAATACGCAGTCTCTATGAGCGCGCGGGGGGGGGGGGGGGGTATCGGCTGGTATCTAGTGTAAGAAATAGACAAGGGATGAAGGCTCCAGCCAGCTCACATTTTTTAAACTCGAAAAAAACAGACGAAAAAAATAAAAAATAAAATCTAAAAAAAATATTAGGTTGAAGAATATTAGTTGCTCCTTCGAATTTCGCCAAAGCCTTACCTACATTTTACCGATATCTGCAGAATAAATCAAGAAAACTACACAAATTGACTCCATTTAGGAATTCCTAACGGTTTGCCCGAACGCATGGCACAGTTGGAGGCGTGGCCTGTTCAGCATTTGTCAACAACCAATCACAAGACTGGTTACGAACCACATCGAGGTCACGACTCGGTTAGCCTTGCAAATTTTAGCAAATTTTGAAAACTATCTTCATTCTTAATTGCCCATGGTGGATTTAGAGGGGGATGCCCTTATAACTGAACATCGAAAGCTTGAAAACAACTAATTTAACGTAGAATGTGGGTATTTTGTATTCAACCAAAAAATAGGGATGGATAACTAATTTTCAAAAGTGTTACATAATTATTGAGTTGGACACATATATTATCAACATTTCTGTGGGTTTTTGAGTGAGATATTGTTAGAAATTTTTACCATAGAAACTATTTGTTAATAGCTCAAAACCACCATAGAGGTTTGACCTGTGTCTTGTGTGCAAGTAGCTTAATTGGTTGACTGTATTTTTAACTTTTCCACCACCAGACTTTCTTTCCCAAATTTTTCTGCACTTTTTTCTTACATTCTTCAAAATTTCTGGAAATGAACCCAAATTTTGGAGCCAACAGGAAAATTTTAGTTAATTTTACGTTTTTACTTAAAAATTTTGGCTATTTTTGTTATAATCTTCTGAAAGAAAATGCAGACTATAACACGACTATTTTGTGAATTTGTGAGGAAAAGAGGGAACTGCATAATTCAAAATCGAAAAAAATGTTATCGTTTACATATATTCAACTTTATTTGCTTTTGTGAAAATTATAGGAATGTCAAAAATACAAATAACATTGAATAATACTATAATGAGCTTAGCACTGCATGTGCATTCTGATCAAAGTCACTGTCATAAGGGTGGGTCTATCTGTAACGCTGATTGGATAGTCCTTTGCTAAAAAATTTATATCATCATTTGGATGAGAAATGTGATGAATGAAAGGTCAAGCCACGCAATTTTGATTGATTACACAAATGACACATATATATAACAACATTTTATTATTAATTCAGAATTCATTAATCCCAGAAACACTGAAACACATGAGCGAGAATGAAGAATTTAAAATAACTACAGAAAACTTAAAGAAGTTTGGTCAGGTGAAATTGACAAAGGAAGAAAGGAAGAAGAGACAACGTGCATTATATAACCTTGGAGTTCCGCACTTCAGGGATTTCTTAAAACAGCAACTTGCGAAAAGAGAAATTTCTGGTGAGTATCAGAA